GGGTCAGAGCGAGGAGGAGCTGTCACTGTCCCTCAACGCCATCACCCGCTGTCCCCAGTGTCCCCAGTGTCCCTGAGCCATCCCAGTGTCCCCAGGCTGATGTCACAGTGTCCCCTCGATGTCCCCACCAGGGATCACGTTCCTGTCAGGGTCAGAGCGAGGAGGAGCTGTCACTGTCCCTCAACGCCATCACCCGCTGTCCCCAGTGTCCCCAGTGTCCCCGAGCCATCCCAGTGTCCCCAGGCTGATGTCACAGTGTCCCCTCGATGTCCCCACCAGGGATCACGTTCCTGTCAGGGTCAGAGCGAGGAGGAGCTGTCACTGTCCCTCAACGCCATCACCCGCTGTCCCCAGTGTCCCCAGTGTCCCTGAGCCATCCCAGTGTCCTCAGGCTGTCCTAACGGTGTCACCTCAATGTCCCCTCGATGTCCCCACCAGGGATCACGTTCCTGTCAGAGTCAGAGCGAGGAGGAGCTGTCACTGTCCCTCAACGCCATCACCCGCTGTCCCCAGTGTCCCCGAGCCATCCCAGTGTCCCCAGGCTGTGTCACTGTCCCCAGGCTGATGTCACAGTGTCCCCTTGATGTCCCCATGTCCCCACCAGGGATCACGTTCCTGTCGGGGGGTCAGAGCGAGGAGGAGGCCTCCCTGAACCTCAACGCCATCACCCGCTGTCCCCAGTGTCCCCGAGCCATCCCAGTGTCCCCAGGCTGTGTCACTGTCCCCAGGCTGATGTCACAGTGTCCCCTTGATGTCCCCATGTCCCCACCAGGGATCACGTTCCTGTCGGGGGGTCAGAGCGAGGAGGAGGCCTCCCTGAACCTCAACGCCATCACCCGCTGTCCCCAGTGTCCCCGAGCCATCCCAGTGTCCCCAGGCTGTGTCACTGTCCCCAGGCTGATGTCACAGTGTCCCCTTGATGTCCCCATGTCCCCACCAGGGATCACGTTCCTGTCGGGGGGTCAGAGCGAGGAGGAGGCCTCCCTGAACCTCAACGCCATCAACCGCTGTCCCCTGCCGCGGCCCTGGGCGCTGACCTTCTCGTACGGGCGCGCCCTGCAGGCCTCGGCCCTCAAGGCCTGGGGCGGCAAGAAGGACAACACCAAGGCGGCCCAGGAGGAGTACGTCAAGAGAGCCCTGGTAGGTGGCACTGGGACACCTTGGGGACATTGGGGACACCTCGGTGACCTGGGGACACCTCGGGCACTTGGGGATGTTGGGGACGTTGAGAGTTGTTGGGGACATTGGGTGTTCATTGAGTTGGGTCAGCCATGGAGAGGTGGGAGCCACATCTAGGATGGGTTCAGACGGTGAGGTGGGGACACTTGGGGGTCTTGGGGACACCTTGGGGACCTCAAGGACACTTCAGGGACCTTGGGCACACCTCAGAGACATTGGGGACATTGAGGGGACTTGGGGACATGAGGGACGTTGGGTGTTCCTTGAGTTGGGTCAGCCACGGAGAGGTGGGAACCACATCTGAGGTGGGTTCAGAGGGTGAGGTGGGGACATTGGAGTCTTGGGGACATTGGGGACATTGGGGAC